TTTTTTTTCCAATAGAATGTTTCTAAGGAAATGTAACCCAGAGGAGCGTATAACAGTGGTTTCAACCTTTAAAGTTACTTCATTCTTACTTTCTCTTCATTATTAATACAACAAGCAAGTGCTTTCTTGAGCAAAGGTTGCCTAAAAATAAAATTTCTCTTATCACAAATAATCTTAAATATATTATAACACTGATTTTACCTTTCGGTTCAAGTAAATATAAGATTTTCCTTCAGAGTTTGGGTCTTACAATTCTATAATTAGGTGCAAAGTTTGTGAGAAGTCTTAACATGTCAAAGGAAACTAACTTAAGACAACATAAAACACTTATTTGCTTGTTATATGATTGTTAATTCTAAGTTCTCTTTAAAAATGAGACAATACACTTGTTCTTTTTTGAACAATAATTGCCAACAACAAAATTTTTCTTACAAGAACTTTCCTAAAAATAAAAGATTACTTCTTTCAGCTTTAGGTTCAAGTTAAAATAATATTTTTATCTATAATTTTTCATTCATACGCATCGAGAGGATTTAAAATCTTCTGAATAAAGGTATATTAGCACATTATGCAAAATGAATTAAGCTTATTTAATAGATAAATACCGATTAAGAGTGTGAATGACTCCGTAGATTGCCACAAGTCTATATTAAATAAAAATTTTTCGCAGACAAACACAACCAACTTATATCAACATAAAGCAATTACTCAGCTATGTATTGAAAAAAATTATGATAATTTTGAGGTGGTTTTCAACGATACTGTCCAATTTGAGAGTAATTATCACAAGGTTTTAAATTAAGATATCGCTGGTATTTTGTTTGTTATTGATCGTCACAGATTTTCTTCAAACTTCTTTATTAAACTTCTTTGTCTTCAAAATTTCTCCTCTTCATAATTCAAAAACCAACTTTTTTATTCTAACTTTCAATCCGATTTCTCACGCCTGGAAGTGCGTGGTAAATATTAGAACCTTGGGAGTAATAATTTCTTGGGTTGGGTTCGGGTCATAATTTTGATTTTTTTTTTTCTAATTTTTAAAGGGTAAGTGGGGTCCAACAACGTGTGAAGTTTCTACTGTTGTTGTCGAGACATAATTTAACGTTAAGATGCCAGACGAAATATTTTCCCTTGATGGTTAGCCTCCTCTATAGTAGGGTCTGCGTCATCCTTTAACAATGAGTTGATGCCCATATTTAATTATTTATAACTGCAATTATGCTAAGCTTTTCACATGTTAGATCATTCATTAAGGTTCTCATTTTTTCTTGCTTTCTTTAGGTTAGGCATCTTAATTCGTTGATATAACTTGAATTAGCATCTAACATCTCTCTTTGTGCTTATGATTATTCTCATAAATCAATGCTAAATATATACTTAATATAACTTACTTAATTGATGATCAATTGCATCATTGGTGTTAAATTTTTTGGGATGAAAAAAATGAGCATTTAGGTATTCCATCAACGAGAAATCAAAACCATACCACAGAGTATGATCGCAACAATTCTAAATTTGAAATAAAATTTCAAACCAAAACACAAAAAAGCAATCACAAAAAAGAAAATAATAAATAAATAAATAAATAAACTAACAAATTTACCGGAAAAGTCCGAGAACGAAGTAAAATCATGGAGCGACACAACAAAAAAAATTCACTTTGAATTTGAGAAAATGAACTTAGGTAAACACTCAGATTTGTTGTCTGCAAATAAATATAGAAACATACAAAACTTTGCTCCAACCCTTTCTTTCAATCTTATGCGAGAAAACTCCCGTTGAAATCCTCCTCCTCGATCCTTTTTTGCTTCACAAGAAATCTATAAAAAATTGTTGCACACAAGACAGCCATTCTTCGTCCCTCAAATCAAAGATTAATAGTCGAAATCAAACTATTGCCTCGACAACATAACCACGCCGAGGAAGAGCATAATTATTATGCACTCTCAGTTTGTTGTGCATTCAATAGAGAAATAGACGACATAATTACATTGGGTTTGTGCATGCCTATGACAAACACAGGCACAAGAGCGCCCACAGTAGCGGCACAGGAGTGCCTCAGAAGCGGCACAGGAGCGCTCACAAGAGCGGTGTTGGAGCGCTCTTATCAGGTGTTGGACTTTTGCGCTTCGGGAGCCAGACTCCATACTCCAACAAAATTTACATAATTTTTTTACATAGATTTAAATTTTTCTAATTCTTCTGCATTTTATTTTCCATTATTGGAAATAAGTTTTCTTGAGAACTTCTTGTTGGTTTCTAAGTTTTTGCATCACTTCAATTTTTTTTGGTACTATTGTGTCGAAATGAACACACCATGAGTGATTCAATGTACATTTATTAGAAAATAAACTTGGAAGAAATTTATCAGAATGATTGTGAATTTATTTCATTGACCTTCTTCCCCAAGTACAAGAATAGATATATAATCACATAAAAAATATCACTATTTTTACTTTTAAATTGTGAAATACACATTTTTTTACATAGGTAAGGTGGCATCCACGTAAAATTTGAATTGAGGTGTTAGATATGTAGTACATAATTGAGGTTTATGTATGTAAAGCTTCCTAAATTATTCTCCACAAGGTTTTGCTTATGTTCTATCGATACATGGCTTCTTATGACGAAAGTGAATGCTCATTTTTGACATTGTTTACCTTTCGTATGAATATCAATAAGGTGAAAATACTTGAGAGGTATCAAAGGCGTAGCACTGAGGCACCAGAGATGAGCATAACATTAAGAGAGACTTAGGTGATCGGTTCATTTGATACTTTTTATTTTCATAGATTTTAAGGCTTTATATTGCATGATTGTATTTCATACTTTATGTTGTACTATTATAGTACCTCTACATACTAACTCTTTTATTCTATACTTTGGAGTTGAAGTGCAATGTTCTTCATTACTTTATAATAAAATTTTCTTATGCCATTAAGATTTGGAGTGTTTCATTTTAAAATGTATGACGGGTTCATGCTTAATACTGACAAATTATTTTGACTTCTTGGATGACATGAAATTAAGATAGTTGTGAGAATAACTCAAGCTAGTGATAAAAGCAAAAGTAGTTTAAAGTAAACAAAGCTATAAGTGCTAAGATTGTATAAGAACACAATTCAAGTTTTTTGTAATTTGATTGTAAGGAAATTGAGATTTGAGACTATGACTACTGTGATTGCATAGAAGTCTTGATGAGCCACGAAGGGATCATTACCAAAATGTACCTCTGTCTAAAAGTTCAGGGCATTTTTGCTATCACATAACCTTGACTTAAATCTCATTTTATTTAAGTTACTTGTATATGATAATTTGTTCTTAGGAGACATTATTTCAGGCAAGCTTCCACTACCATTTGCTTAGGACAACCATTTAATCATGTTTTTAAGGTTTAGAATGATGCATGTTATTTCTTTTATCATCTGCAGTTATTCAAGGAAAAATTAGTTGCTAGCCCAATACGATTGACTTAGATAATAGATCCTTCCAGATTCTCTTTTAGATGAAGGTTTTTACTAAGACGTCATCAACACATTCTTTAAATTTACTACTGTCCTTGACAAACAAGATCGTTTAGCTCTAGAAAAGGTGGAAGTCGTTGAGTTTTACTGTTTATAATAGAGCTTCATCTACTATCAAAGGCTTCTCATGAAGTCCAATTAATGTCAAAAACATTTGTTCTTTGTGTCTACGGTAAGATAAATGACTTATATGTACAAATCATCTCTCTTAAGGATTGGTTTTCTTTATAATAAACACACTTTGCAATTACTCAACTAGTCGGTTAGTTGTAATGGCTAATCTTTCTGCTAAAGACCTCTGAATCTATTTCAAACAATTCATTTTTGAGATATAGAACTCCTTGAAGATTTTAAACGACACTTCTTACAAAAATAGAAAAAAGAAAAGAGGAAAAAAATAATGTTAGGAATTTGAAGCAATTCAAATACGTGTACATTGTTATCATTCATAGTAAATGCTACACTTTTGATCTCCTCATTTAAGGAGCAAAAACTTTCATCCAAGTGTGTTAACGAGTTTATTGGAAGGCTACCTTCTGAGGGCAATTGCGTTGGATAAATGAAAGTTGCTAACAAAAATGGAAATGTATTGAGTTTAAGAATAAAGGACTACTAATTTACCCTATCAAAATTTCTATGTTACCACTCACTCTTTTTTCATTTCTCTTGTCCGTCCTACGCTTCATACCTAGGGTTCAATAGTTTATGTTGAAATGTTGTGCTACTTTGTTAAGTTCTTGAAAATGTTGGATGAGGTTTCTCAAAAGGTTTAAATAAGTTTGAACACTGTGCAAAACTAACGACTAAACTTTCATTATATCTAAATTAGAGTTGAATTTGGTCAGATTGAGTTACGAATAGATCAAACGGGGCTCATAGTAGATTTAACTAGTTTTCAATAAAGTTCAATAAAGGTTTGAGAATGTTTGAATAGGTTCAAACTTCGATTGGGCTTTGTTTGACCCTTGTTTAATAGAGAAATGATGCTTTGCAAGCATTAATTACTATGCAAGATAAACAAAACACGAACAAAAGCAAAATAGGCATTATAATATAAATATATAACATTAATCACAATAACATAGCGGTGACATCATTGATAAAAATATTATAACACAATCATACAACTCTAAAACATTTTTTTAAAGTACAAAGCATAGTTCCTCGAAAGATATTTTTGAATAATAATTAAAAGATTTATATACATACCATTAAATTCTTATTTATTTACATATCTTATACATAAAATTTAATTTTTACATATATGCTACATCAACTACATATAAAAGATGTATTTTATTTTATTTTTAATTAAAATAGTGATATTTTTGATAAAAAAATATCTAAATAGTTTATATTATGTAAAATGTTAAGTTTATAATTGCCTCAATATATATATAAAATAATAATTTTCCTCATCAGTTCCATTAAGATCTGAATTATAAATCGTACGAGGATGTAGAATTATTGCTCTTCAAAAAATTTACGCCCAACCGCGGTCGTTCCGCGTGGCGAGCGGGCAGGGTCTCCTGTGTCGATTGCAACAGCGGTGCAACTTTTAACCCCTAAAACCCTAAAACCCTAAAACCCTAAAACCCTAAAGCGTAAGCGATTCTTGGCGTTTCGTCTTCCTCGTTTGCGACATGGATTTGGGTCAGATCGACTACGATCGTCTCCTCTTCTACCAGCAGGCTCGCATGGAAGCCGAGGCTGCTTACGCGAAGAATCCCCTCGACGCCGAGGTAAGCCCCGGAATCCCAACTCGTTGTCAGTATCGCTGCTATCGCATTATGCCTTTTCTTGGTTTTTTTTCGACTTGCCTCGTACCCCTTTTGTGGCTGCGGAGGGTTGTTTCTGCCGTGTTTTATATTTTCAGTTGATTTGTTGTTGTTATCTCTCTTTCTAGAATCTCACCACGTGGGGCAAAGCACTGCTTGATCTGTCGCAATTCCAGATCCCCTCCGAGTCACTGAAACTAGTGAAAGGTTTTTACTGTGATTAACGACGATATTGCACTTTTATTACATATGATAGCGGTTCTAATTTACTGCCATGCTGTAGACGCTGCTTCAAAGATGGAGGAGGCCCTGCAGATTGATCCCAGGAAACATGACACCCTCTGGTGTTTGGGCAATGCGCACACTTCCCATGCATTTTCCCTTAATGACCACGATGCTGCAAAGGCATATTTCGGGAAGGCAACGCAGTGCTTTCAGCAGGCACTGGAGGAGGTGTTTACATCTTCGCTGCTTTCGTAATTAAAAAAAAAAAAAAAAGAGATTATTTAAAGATGCGGAGCGACAATGTTTGTGTTTCTTGTAGGATCCAGGCAATGAGATCTACATGAAGTCACTAGAATTCTCGTTTAAGGTAGTTTTACTGTTTATTTTGTATTTTTTAAATTTTTTCTGCATTCATTTTTTGTTCTCTTCTCTGCTTTTTTTTTGAACGTGTCTCACCTTGCACAAAGATTTTCTAAACTGGTTTATTGCTTGGACCTCTCATCTCAAGTTTTTAGGAGCATTATCATTGATTTACTGTATAGCTTGCAATTGGGTTTAACAATAATGTTTTGGTGTTTTACTTTCGCTATTGTTAACTGGTATACCGTGAGTTGACTGAAAGTATCTTAAAAAAATTTCACATATTGTTTGAGGAGATGTTCAATAAGTGGTCTGAGTAAGGATGTAATTTACGTTAGAAGAGTTTTTGTCATGTCATTGCTATTGAAATATAGGGTACATATACGTATTTACATACAAAAACAATAATTTAATGATTGGAATTTTAGAAAGTTTTATTTTTAGTGTCGTCATTTTTTTGGTATTTTCTACTTTTAGAATTTTTTATTGTTGGTGAGTTGAAATTTATATTTCTGAATTTTAGCATGGGGGTTTGTGGCTGATTTTGTGACTTTCCTCTTTTGGGAGCCTTCACCTGCTATTTATCTTGTAAATGTTACACATGAAGTCAAAGAGGAATAATTATTTTCTCTCCCAAATCCTACATGGAATTAGAGTCAAGTTATCGCCTTCGAAATTGCTATCGAATCATGTTAAAAAATCAAGACTTATTCTTATTCAACTGTCAAAATTCAAGGAAAATAACTATGATGTTACTACGTATTATAATGCGTTAGTAACATTATAACAAGTGCTTGCTTAATATTATGACAATATTTGAGAGAATTAGGGTCGTAAAAGGAGAGAGGAAAATGATCTGGTCTAAATGTTCTTAGCTGGTCTGACTTGGAGTTTAGATGGAGTCTGAGGTTACATCCTCTACAGGAAATCTCTACCATATATTCGAGAAGTTTTTCTAGGGTTAGACATAAAGTGTCAAGAAGAAAAATTATGCTATCTAACACCAAGCTTCATCGTAACATTGAATATGAGTACTCGACTCTTATATTAAAATAGTTAATGCTGACAAAGAAGGGCATAAGAAATCATGATATGAGCCTCGCAAAAAATCATGACACACGAATGGGACATGTTGGAAGTTTCTGGATAAACCAGTGAATTGGAAATCAAAATTCAATCGTGAAGATCGAGCTTATCAATACATTGATGAAGAAACTCAATAGTTTTCTGTAAACTTTTATGCATTCATTTTCATCAATGAGCTATTAGAGCACATGCATAAATTATTTCAATGTTCAAAATTGTCATTGACTCTGTCTCGCTCTTTAGTGCATAAGATTTAGTCACTGCATTGTTAGGTGCCACTTTTATTTTTATACATTATTAGATAATTGATTATGGAACAATTGATTATATGAGTGACTGTTCTAAAATATTTTTTCTTCAACACACCTTGTGTAGACAATTAAAATGTTAAAATTGTCGGCGATTCCCTCTCGTTAATTGTCGGGATAGAAATGTCAAACTCACTTCATTGTTAACCCTTTGTGGCGTACCCCATGTTCCCAATTTGTCTTATAACTTGTTGTCCATCAAGAAAATTATGGTTGACCATCAAAGTTAAACTAATTTTTAATTATTCCTTTTGTGAGCTTCAAGAATTGGTCACCGAGAGCATGATTTATTGTGCTAAGAAAAATGATGGATTTTATCATATTGAAGATGAATTTGACCTGAATGGACAATTCCAATGTATTTGTTTTAATTCTATTTTTATTTTTAAAGAGAATGATATTTTGTTATGACATTATATGTTAGGTCATCGTAGTTTTCATTATTTAAAACGCTTGTCCTCTTATATATTTTAGAATAAAAATATATTTATTTTTTCAATGAATTCTATTATTTTGAAGGGTTTTCAGTTTGCTAAATGTCATCCTGCATTTTTTTCTCACTAAACCAACAAATCAACCGCATCGTTTACGATTCATAGCGATATTGGAGGTCCTTATAAAAATCTTATATTTTCTAAGAAAAAATGATTTGTGATATTTATGGATGATCACACCAATGCTATCAAAGTGCAAAGCATAATGCATTGTGCAACTGCACAAGGCTTTAGGTTTGCTTTAAAGAGTAAAATGCAGAGCGAAGTGGCTCATTTATTAACCAAGTGCTAATTGGTTATATAAAACTGGTAATGTATAAGTACATTCATTAACAATTACAAAATATAAAATATGCTTTAAAAGTTGATCTAAAATAAAAAAAAATATTTTACAATACCTAACTTGAATATAAATATTGTGGGTGAATCTAAAAATTTAAATTTCCAACAATTTCTAATAGTTTAATGCATAATAAAAAAAAATTAAAATTGCAAAAAAAAAACTTGCAAACCTTAGCTCATTGAAGCGTGCTTTAGTAAGCGCAGTGGACGTCACGCGTTTCGCTCCACTTTGCTCATGAAGCGTGCTTTTAAAATCATCGTTTCAATCTAGGTTAAGTTGGGTTTATTTAATAAATAAACATGAAGGGTAAACACTTAAAAACAAAATTACACCATGGTGCAAAATTATTTAAAAAAAAAAAACTATTCAAGTGTTATGGAGTGATAGGGTTCAAGAGCATTTCAAAAATAATTTTGGTCAATTTTTTCTCGAAAAATTTTTAGTTTTGATTAGTAAGACATTGATTGAAATCAGTTAAAAATTTAGAATAATGGAGGTAATATTTAGAACTAGTAAAACAAAGCTCGACTTTTATATATAATTTTTGAGGTTCATTGGAATGTAAGTTGATACCTAGATTTGATGGATTTAAATATTTTAGTCTTCTTATATGATAGAATCATGATAATTGTGACCATATAGCTTCCGGTGTTAAGGTTGTACGATATAAATGGAGAAACTGATGTGTGGTCGCAATAGCTATTTTCTATGTAGTCATGTCAGAGGGTTCCCGCACGATGATATGCAATTTTACATAATAAATAAATTAGTTTAATCAAACAATTATGTGGACCAAGAGAGTTGCAGTGGAATTTCTTCCTTGTAGGCTCTTCTTCATTGGAGGGCGCTTCAATAGCTTCTTTTCCTTCTCTTACTTGGCAATGGTGTCTTCCTTTACAGTACTCTAGGGACACCGCTGTGATTGAATGACATCCTTATATTGATAGTGCCACCAAAAATTATAAAATTAATTGTTAGGTGCCAGAAAGTTATCGGTGCATTAAAGGAGTTGAGAAGTGGGCGACAAATGTTGCAAATTATAGGTTGAAGTAAACTTGCGTGACCTTTGCATCACCATTTCCTTCTAGCAGCCTCTAGGTTGAGTATATCTTGAAAGAGATATCTTTTTCCTGAGAAACTAATTAAATAGCCATCGGAGAGATGAAAGTTGTAAGAGTTGAGGCCTATGCTCTGATAAGATTGAGTAACATGTAATTTACCGGACTACAGGTGCTTATGAGGATTTGATTTATAAGGTTTTATGACCAAGAACATGATGAGGATGTATTTGTAATGTTTCTATATGATAGCAGATAATTGAGTTTGGAGTCAAAGTATTGGCAAGGAAAAAGAATATAATTTAGATTGATTCAGCCATTTCAGGCAACTTTTTGTAGAGAATTCTGGCTAAACCTACTATGTTGGCATGCATTGTTTGAATGATTATGATTCTAGTATGATAATCTATAGTATCTTCTTATGGTCGTTTGGCAGCATGCCTATCAAAAGTATATTCCTTCAGACAACCCTCTTTAATTAGCTTCTGAAGTAAAGCCTTTAGTATTATGCTGTCTTTTTTGCTTTGTTCATGGCCGTGATAGCACAAATAGAACTTTGATTTATCCTAACCCTCAACCAACTTCTTCATTGAAATTTGAAATTTGATGTATTACTTTCTTTGAATGATTTTTTCGATAAATGTGAGTAATCTATGGAGTGGAGATAATGTATGTCATAGTAGCTGGTATAAGGCAATTCAAGCGTTTGCCTTCAAGGATCTATGAGATGTCATCTGAATTGTCTCCATGGATTGGAAAATTTTATTTTTGTTCTTTTATGAGTAGAAGGTTTGTTATTGTCATTTTCATTCTTGTTTTCTTTCTTGTTTTTGAGAGAAAAAAAGATGCAGACATAACTTGGAATATTAGCTCTTGCGGGAGCTTACCGGGTTGCGGTACTGTAGCTGCTACATTGCCGTGGTTCAACCACTCTCTCCCCTTCCGCTTTCCTATTTCTATCCAATTCCAATTCCTTCCTATTCCATTGCTCGCCTTTTCTATCCCTTTTCCTATTAATATTTCTTTCCAATTCCAATTCAAAATCCACCCTATTTATTGCCTAACTTTTCTACCACTTTACACTTCTATCCCAATTTCAACTTACTTCCTATTTATTTGTGCTAGGATCTTTTATATTTTGCTTTGTTTGCTTAGGATGGGGGGTTTTTGATGATTGCTGATTTTAGTTGTTGCCTTTGAGGTGTTGTTCTTCTCTGAGGGTTGTACTCGATAGTGAGAACGTGCTCCGGTTGTAACTCGTTTGAGGTGATGATCGTCTTCAAGGGTTCGGACGCTGCTCTAACTGTATCTCAACCCCGACGAGATATTTATCTTTCCGCAGCCTCTCTAGCCCTGCTTCCAACACCCGAAAACTATGTTCTCTACTGTCGTTTTGGCCTACAACCCCATTCCAGCAGCCGCAAGCCACCTTCTAGCCGCCACACAAGCCTCAAAGCCCATCCTGTTTGCCATCCAGACCTCCAACCACCTCCCAGCAGCCTTACAGACCCCTTCCAGCCCTCTTCTTGCTAGTGGCTGCCCCTTCCTGCCACCTCCTAGCAGCCTGCCATCCCTCCAGCTCTGCTCCATAAGGCCCCGACCTCCTCCACCTACCAGACAAACTGCCAGACATCTTCCCCTTCAGTCAGTGCCGCTGTTACCTACCCTTCAGTCAGTGCTGCTGTTACCTACCCTTCTAGTCGCAGCAGCAGCACGTCCCCACCCCTCCAATAGCTGCCTCAGCGCACTCCTCCAGCTCCAATCAATTCTTTCATGAATTGCTGAAACCCATGAAGAGATTATTTGTAGTCTAGCAACTATGAATTTCCTAAAGTAAATGTTAGATTTGAATTGTTTTGCTTTTGAATGTTTTAGCATTCATAATGCCAATTATCGCCAAAGATAACAAATAACAACAAAAGTAAAACATTTATGAATTTCTGTTTTCTTTATTTTTGGATAGCCATATCATTTTTTTTTGCAACATCTAGTAGATGATTTCTTTCAAAGAAAGAAATTTTCATACTTCATGGAGTAATTGAATTATAAATAGCTAAAACTTAAAAAATAAAGGGAACTTTTTGATGAAGTGTTCAGTGAATTGGATGCTAGCATTAAAGAACTCAAGGAAGAAGATGAAGCCTTAGAAACTTTAGAAGAAATTGTCACTATTATCACGACTGACTGCACAAGCCTCCAAGCCCATCTCATCTGCCATCCAGAACTCCGAACACCTCCCTGCAGCCTTACAGGCCCATTCTGGCCCTCTTTCTGCTAGTGGCTGGCCCCTCCTTCCCCCCCCCCCCTGCCACAACCCAGCATCCCACCATCCCTCTAGCTCTACTCCATAAGGCCCCGACCTCTTCCACCTACCAGACAAACTGCCAGGCATCTCCCCCTTCAGTCAGTGCCGCCTTTACCTGCTTCCAACCCTTCTAGTCGCTGCAGCAGCGCATCCCCACCCCTCCAACAGCTGCCTCAGCCCACTCCACGGGATGATTCCCTTCCAACCCATCCTACTGCTGTCACCTTCACCAAACCCATATTCTTCCTGTTGGCCAGCTGCCACCCACCCGCCTTGTGCCATCGCCGTAGGGCTTATTTTATATTTGATGTCATTTATTTCATGTTCGCAAGAGTCGTGTTTTTAACCTTTTAAATTTAGTAATAATAATTATGCTTTTTCGTGGTGATTTGGGCTTTCTCCGGTATCTTCATTGCTAATGTAATTTGAAGTTTTTTTAAGAGGGTCCTCCATATTGCATGGAGGATTCTTTGCAACAAAAAAAAATGGAAGCTTTTGGGCTGTAATCCCACAATAGATGCATTCTTTGCAACTAATTTGTTGCTCTCATGCTCCTCATGAGAGACCTGATTGAACCTTAACATGTATTCTGTTATGCGCTTCCCCTCTTTTTCTTGGCATTAAGAAAAAGTGAGATCTTTATAGGTCTTTTCAAGTAAATAAAGTTATTCCAGGAACAGGCACTCGACTTCATCAAATGAGGTAATGCTTCAAGGAGGAAGTTAGTTCAACCATCTTCTTGTAGAATCTTTAAATATGGCGGAGATATGGTGCTGAACAACATTAAAGACATTATTCAGGGACGAGATCTTGAACCATGTCAAAATGATTACTTTGATCGTGTTTTTCTTTTGTACAATTCCACTTGAGAAGTTTTAAACTTCAAGAGGAAGAACTTGTTGATTTCTTTGTGTGGAAGGGGAATACATGGCACCTATGCACGTGGAGGAGCAAGAATGTCACGAATAATAAAGCTTTGCCTTTCTGAGGAATGGGTAAGTTAGTTAGCTGTGTGAATATATTGGAAGCTTGAAGGGGACTTGATTATATCAATTATGTGAACATATTAGAAGCTTGAAGCGGACTTGTCTGCATCAATTATGTGAACATATTGGAAGTTTGAAGCGGACTTGGCTGCATCAATTAAAGCAACTAATTGATATTGCATGTCTTTGAATTGTGCTTCAAGTTGATCTTGAATGACATATGTCCAGCTATTGGAGGGCTTCCCTACATGACTTTTTTGATGTTGCATGCCTTCATTAGCAAGTGTTCTAAATTGAATTGATGTTGGTTTTTGTGATGAAGTTTTTCGGCCATATTTATTTTTTGCACAAGGCATAATTGATGTGTCTTGCATATCACGCTTCATAATATGGATGATCAAATTTTGTTATCTTTTTTTTTGGGAGGAAAGACAGCTCATTCGAAAGAGAAACATAGATGAAAAGTTGGAACAAGCTAAACTTGAGTTTCTCTGTGAGGAGGCCAGAGAAAGTATCCAAGTATATAGAATTTGTGTTAGCTCTCTTTATTTATTCATTAGTTACCTAGACCGCCTCTTATATGAGACCATGTGAAGGTACACGTAGATGAGTTTGCTTAGGGATGGGTGACAAAAGTTAAATCTCTTGTATGGAGTTTGCTATTCCTGTGGTAGAATGATAATTGGCGGTTGAAAAGTTATGGAATGTGTTAACTACTGTACAATATGGAGAAGTGCGGTGACCTCTCTTGTAATGATGATTCCTTGCGACGTGTGATAAATGCTAGTAGTGAAAGCATTCTGGATTCTTTGATCTGAGCTTGCATTTACTCGTTTGGAGTATCATTAAAGTTTCAATGTATCTGTGTTCAACTAATATTCATGAGGAAATGGCTATTCTTGATAGAGTATAATGATGATCCAGTTTGAAATAAAGAAAATTGTTTCCTCAAAAAGGATGTTGAATATTCCTCTGTGGCAAGCTTGTATTATTTCTTTATTTACATGCAATTATTATTGTTTGAGCGGACTAATATGAGGATCAGATTTTCTATAGCAATTTAGTTGGTGAGCAGTTGTTGAGCTCTTCAAAGTAATGCAAAGCGTTGGAGACCTAATAATTTATGCCACAGGCCCACATGCAATTAATGTGATGCCTGTATATGCATGAAAGTTTTTGTTGCATTGTAACATTTTTTACCACATGCTCTCTTGGGTTAAATTCTATTTTGATGGGTAGAACGTTAATATGCCTTTGTGATAGTTGCTGTACAATTTACCCAATTGTATTTTAGTGTTTCTTATTTCAGTTTCTTGGCATTGAATTCAGACAAAGTCTTTGCAGAGTGCTGTTTGATTGTGTCATGAATTGTGTTGTTAGCATCAGCTATGCCAACACATCCTTTAGGGACACCCATGATAAATGCTTTGAGATCCAAGAATATAACAATTTAAGCTTTGGCGATTGAATACTTAAAAGTACGCTTAATATGAATTCTGGTGCTTAGTAGGCGATAAAATGAATTGAGTATTCCTGTGAAGGTTAGATTAAGATGATTTTCCAAGCGAAAATTGCTAAGTGCTACGTTATTAATTACTTCATTGCTTAGCTATTTCATGTGTACGGTGCAAATGACCCTTATGAACATCAATGATTTCAAGTATTATAGTACTTGTTATATTGTATTTGATATGGAAAAGGAGAATATTAGGCAACACCATTGATAAATGCATTGCTGGTTACAAAGATTAGATGAAAAAAAGCAGCTGAATTTTTCTATCATGAATTTTGTAAGAGAAACCAATAGAGCAACATAATGGTGAAAGTATAATCCGTCGAAAAAAACTATGGCCAAGTTAACGATAATAAAATTTAAATTCTAAAGCAGATGATCCTTTGTTTATTGAAGCATAGAATCGGATACATCTGAACAAGCGAGTGTAAGTGTTACATTGAAACAACTTGCAATGTTAAACCAAGTCTAATGAGATAACCAGAACACTAAAAAAATGTATCTTTTTTCTCATAGGAATCACTATAAAAAGCATTAACATGGACAAAAAAAGAAACTAAAAACTTTGAAAATAAGTTAGAGACTACCAAAATTACAGCAGTGCACACAATGTGCATATCCAATGAAAATAGAATTTTCATATCCACATTAATAATGATTTAGTGGTTTGTCGTACTAAACAATGCCATTTTGGATATTTGAATTTGAATATTTTGCCCCCAATTTTTCATTGAGTAGTCAGTCCCGCAAAAATGTATGCTCCCTATTAAGTAATGATTGAATTTTATTCTAAATTGTCAATTATATTGCATATGGGAAAAATAAGGGTCTGAAAGCAGATCTCACTCAAATAACTTTGGGGCCGTTTATGATCACATTTGTTTTTTTTTAATTGTTTGATTAATTTTATTTCTGTTTTGTTTATGTTTTGATTTGAATTAAAATATATTAGTTCATGTTAGTTACTTTTATAAATACTCAAAATATTAAAGAAACTAATTGTGCTTGTTTTTAAAATAAAAAAATAAAAACATATACAATAACTTTGGGGCCGTTTTGTATCATTTTTGTTTTTTTAATTCATTTATTATTTTTTTTAATTTTTTTATGTTTTGATTTGAATTAAAACATATTTGTTCATGATAGTTACTTTGAAAAGTACTCAAAATGATTTAGAAACTAGTTGTGTTTTGTTTTTAAAAATAAAAATAAAAATAAAAATAAAATATATAAAAATTATATTAATCAAATGTGTTCTTAAAAAATAAAAGCCAAAACGAAAATGAAAAGAGAAACCGAAAGTGATGCTAAGCGGGCCCTCCTAATTTTCCATGCAAAGTTTACCATGATTTGTTGTTTTGGCCCTGACATTTTCTAAATGAATTGTTATTAATAGCCAACGGATCCATGATGTTTGATCCTTAACTATGGTTTTTAGTTTTGCAGATATATATTCAGTGATTGTGCCCATTCTTCAATGTTTACTACCAGTCACTCATTAAATAACGATTTTAAATCCTTTGACACATTGTACAATGTAATATTCAGGGACCTGAATTGCACATGGAGATTCAACGGCAGATGGCTAATCAACCAGATGCAAGTAGGCGCTCCTCAACCTCAAATACAAAGGTTTGATGCAAATATTTAGCAATATAAGCTTAATTTTTTCTTTTTGTATGTTCTTACTTAGAAGAGCATTGTTTTTTTCCCTCCAAAAATTGGATTACATTGATTTTTTCAATAGTAATAAAAAGTCAAATTTTTTATTATTTTATTGGTGTATTTTGATTTCTTGTGATCTTTCTTGAAATAATTAGTTGAGTATGAGTCATGCTAAAATGGAGCCAGCCAGCCTTAATTCAGACTAGAGTTAGAAAAAAAATATATCACGAAATCCAATGTATGTATGTATGTCTGTTGTGTGTGCGTGCGTGCGTGCGTGCGTCCCAAGTTCTTTTTGAACTATTCTAGCTCCATCCTTGATCAATCTTTGATTACTTACCAAAGTTGTGTTCCTTCCACACATGCAAGTTTTGGCCATCAACTCGTCTCTTCTACACGCTACTTCATGTATTTTGGCTTAAGGAGAAGTGATCTACCCCTTTTAAGTCCATTAAGGGTATGTTTGGGGCAGTTGCACCTCAATAAAAAGCTACTGCGTAACAGCTATGACAGGAAGCTATAGCTCAGAAGCTGCTGCAGAGTAACTGACTATTTGTTTGTTTTTTGCTGTTTCGAAACATTTATGCTGCAACTGTTTCTGGACAAATGATCATTCTGCCTCTGTACTGTAATATTTTTTACAACATAACTGTTCAGACTTAGCACATTTCATACTTGAAAGCAAATATCTAGTTCGAACATTACAACATATAAATAGACACCTTACTAAACAGTGAGTAGCACGATACTTAAAATAAAAAAAAAGAATATTAAAATAACAATTAATAATATGATAATATTATTTTTAAAATGCACTTGGGCTTATGTGAAGAAATAAGCCGTCATCCAGGGAAACTCCCTACACCCGATTGCTATCAGCTATCGATTTTTCCAGCCCATTTGCCCACTTAAAAAAAAGACAACTTTCTTATCATCTCCTCGTATACCTGTAAAATTGTCTCTTGTAGCTATGTGGCTGTTGCGAAGTAAACATAGAGTATGGTAGTCCACGGTAGCAGTACAATGCTTTGGAGGTACTAGAAGTTCTCAAGCTCATCTTTTATGAATGTTTAAAATAACAAGACACAAACCCTTAAATGTAATATTAGCGAAAAAAGTATTACAATTAACTAATGCAAGTTTTATTAAACTCTGAGGTTTCAGAGAACATAACAGAAACTAACAAATCTGTCGCTACAAAAGGACAACAAACCTTATAAAAAAAGGTTTCAAACTATATAATACCAAACTCGTATGTGTCACATATGCATATCACCAAAAAAACTATCCATAAGAGCCTAAGGAACCATAACATCGATAAAAATAGAAGAAATTGGTTGCTTTCATTGATATTTTACATAGCCGATAATGACATGTAAGCCATCCAGAAGAACTCTTAAGGTCGAAAAAAATTAAACATGCAGTAAATATTTATATAACATATATTTACGGGTTGTCTATTCGGCCATCCAAGTGGGGAATAATACTTACAAATGAGCGAGAAATAAAATTGAGATTCAAAATATAGATTATTGGATAAAACATCGATATAACAAACGATAAAAGTTTTCATCACATATTGGAAATAAAATATAAAAAAATTGGTTCATTCAACATTCAACAATGACGTTTTCAATCTGCTCTCACAACTCTATCATTTCCCCAACACTATTCCCATCCTGGGTGCAACTCTCAGGTAATTTAACTCTACCAGTGATAAAGAATGTTCTACGAGATTTTCAAATGCTTCAATTGGAACATGTAAATGATCTTCATTGGCCTTGCTGAAGTTAGTGTCACGACTTGAAGGATTCTAATGAATTTAGCTGTGGAGAGCTATTGTGGCCACCACAATCTTCACATGTTTAGGAAATGCGTATATCGAAATATCACGCGTATGATCCATTTTTTCTTCTACATCCAAATATTATTTCAATGACATCGCGTAAGGATGAGTCTTTTGTTAAACATTTCTTTCCTTCCCCGAGTGATGTTACTGACTCTTTCCAAGTCGAGAATTTGATAAATAGTACTCGAAAATGGCTTCAGATACTCATTTGTAAGGGATATCCAACATTTACTAAGTAATATTTGTCTGTCACAAATACAATAATTAGTTATGTACTGAAAAATATCTAAATAGGATAAATGGTTGAGCAAAGTTTGGGGTGGGTAAGGGAAGTGTTTTTGAGTTCTTGTGACAAATTTGAAGATATGATTGTCATTTGCACTAGCTTTCTAACCAGTCATAACAAAAGTAAAACACATGTGAAATCACATACAACAAATACATTTTGTGTTGGTGATCCACACCGTCCAATGAATGCGACATTTTCATTATTTGATACACGTGTGTGTATCCATGTGTATTTCATCGATTGCTCCATACAATTCTGCAAGATTAAAGAATTTTGTGTAAATTAATGTACTCATTTTGAATTCTGAATATAACGAAAAAAAGAATTGTCTTACAATATGACATGCTGCGGGTCATGTGTAATCTCTATGAGAGCCCTCTAAAAAAATTGGGCCATCGAACTTGTTAATTTTTGATGATAAACTAACAAGAACATTCAATCCGACTGAAAATTATCTGCTGATCGTCTTCGATGAGTGCTATAATCGCTTTATCGCTCCTCTCATAAGATTCATTATGTGAGAAATTATAGAGGTTTATTGTTAACACCTTTTTGGAAGTCATCCTGGAGGAGCCATGAATTTTATGATTCCTCTATAATTTATCTAAGAGACCAATAAGTACGAGCTGTGTCATACGAAAAATGTTGTTGAATCTTGTTGGGTGTCCTTTAAACAACTCCCCAACCCATTTATCATGAAGTTAAGATGATGTCATTCAAGGAAACCGATCTACATATGAGTTGTAGTACTCATATATCAAGCATACCGCATCTACAATTCTACCAGCGTCTCTCTTTTTGAATCCATGTTAGGCAAGTGATCTATTTAGTAACACATAAGAATCACCGAATTAGATGCCATGACAACATTTTATAGCCAAGCAACAATCATAAATGAACTTGAAAAAGCAAATAACAAAGCATACGATGAAAAAACAAGCATCCAAAGCAGCATTAACAATGTTCCAAATCAAAAGAAGAAACATACAAAGCAGAAGCCAAATTAACCTAATGAAAAAAAAAACAAATAGTGCAAAGACAAATAATTAAATTCAAGCACTCCTGCTGTCATAAAAATAATGTAACTAATTGACCCTACGGTCTTGGGACATCGTCATGAAGAACTCTCTACGGGTATGGTCCTCCAGCATTTTCATTGGGAACAAATATAATGGCATGTTGGAGTTACCTACAAAATTCATATATAACTTGTTGGATGGAAGTTGCTTATGATGTCCCCGGGTCATTGGTGCATGAAACTAATGATTGTGAAATTTGTCTTCTAATGAAAGCATCTCATTCTTTTTTCTTTTTCTCCACCCTTGGACACTCTTTGACTAACTAGTGGATTTCATTTTGGTTCGGGCCAGGTTCTTTGTTGGGGTCAATTGTTTGTTCGACATCCAAGTTCTCAGCTCTGCCTGCAAACTCTGGCTCACTAGGGGTCTATGCATTATTCTTTGTTGCCACATCCCACCAATCATACGGTTCAACTTCTCTTCCAACTCAAGGTCAATACCACTGAAGTTGAACTTTTTGGTTGCTGACATTACCAACAACATAAAGGGACATGGATATGTTCTTATATTTCAAGGAAAAAAAATCATAATACATATGTTTGATCTATTTTCAACCCTAATCTCTCAGCCCGCTATTCTTCCGAAGCGTCATCCCAACCAATGCCCGTTTCTTATGGCAGAGGTCGCAAAATGTTAGTTTTGCTTCCTTATCCCACATAATAGATGAACTGAGTTCTCTTGTCTTAACCATTGTGTTACTAGCATAGAAAGAGTTAAACAACATAAATATTTGACACAGAAAATTATTAACACAACTCAAGCAAAATAAAATTGTCGTATTTCACTCTTGTCCCCATGCCTTCCCCTCACCAAACACCATTGTCCCCACACCATCCCCACACCACACACCACACACCACCACCTCCACATCCATCACTCAAATATTATTTGTAAGATAATCATTTTAGGATTAATAACTCATACCTAACGACAGAAAGTAACTTTCATATAAATGCATATAGTTACCATGAATATAAACACATAGTAATTGTGTGCTAGGTTTGTAAATTTCTCTAAACTTTAAAGAATAATCCTGAGATAGCTAGATAAATATCCTAATTTTTTTTATTTGTGCTATAGGCGTTATTTTTCTGCGAAATAATCCAATCATCCAATACTTTTTTCTCCCAAAAGTTCTTTTAGCAAAATTTCATCCAACTAGCATACACCAAACCCACACAATCCAAACATCCAACAAGCTTCATTTACATAAACAACACACAATTCTAATGAATTTACATATCTACACAATTACTTTAATATTTATGCACACAACACTCAAATATGTAAAAACACATCAAAATGAATACTATGACAACATAAGCAACATAGGGAAATCATGGTGAAGCCGTAAAATACACACGAGTATGACTACCTTCATCCTTCAAACTTCGTATTATGCATACAACTGTCATGACTGTAAAAACATAAGATTTATGCTGGGTTTGTAAATTTCCCTAAACATTATTGATGAATGTTGCTCTAGTTAAGGGAATATCACAAAATTCTAAAATTTCCATAGAGAAAGCAACGCCTGAAACATTGCTGCTAAAACCAGCTTGCAACCCGAAACAGAAAAAAACAACTTGCAACCTTAAACATTTCTGTTAACAACTGCGCCACCATCTATCATTCTTTTCTCAAAATTTTCACTCGAATATCAAAATTTTTGATGAAATCCCAATCCATATTAATAAAATATACGAGAGCCGAAAGATTGTTGTTCATATGTCACTCTAAGTTTTTCTCAAATATAGATTGGTGATAGGTATGTAATCATACAAAAAAAAAAAAAGCAAAATCAACATAGCAGAACCGATGTTTTGTATGCTTCAACCAACGGCCACAAACAAAAAATACCAAAACCAATTGAAATCGCAAAGCACGTTGAAAAAAAATGGGGTTGTAGCCTCCGAAAATAGAGAAGAGAAGGAAGTCACCAGTGCCATGTATGTAAAAATCCCCCAAAAAAAAATTTCTCAGTGCAAATCATACGTCTCATAGAGCAAGTCCATGTAAAAGATATGAGGGGGAGAGGATGCTGGAAGAACAAGGAAGCAAATGTCGGTAAAAACCCTTTCGTAAGTGTTAGTTAACAAAGAGAGAGTAGAGAAAAAATTATAGGCAGATCACTTGCGAGACGAGGCCGAGCAGGAGGGAGGGCACAGGAGTAAAGAATGCCAAATAACATTGAAGAAGCGGGGATGGAATCGCGGTGTGGCTTATCGGGCGCGCTTAATTAAATGCGCCCGCGCCACACCATCCAAACAAGCGAAAACTTAACAGCGGGCCGCGTTTTTGCTGCGCCAAACATGCCCTAAATGGTTTAATAGCTTGTCAATAAACGTTTTCTTATGTATTGTGTGCTTAATTTATGTGTGATATTATTTAATTTCATATTTCTTATTAGATTATACTGTAGTAAGTCAATAGATCAAATTAGATTTAGTATTTTGGGAATTGTATTCATTAATGAATTCTTTTTTATGCTATTAAAATTTTATATTTATGGACCTAGAACAAAAATTTAGATAGTTTTACATTCATAAAAAAATTAAGAATGATATTAATTGATAATCATGAAGTTTATTAATTTATATAAATTAAAATAGCAGGGAATTAATATGCATGTCATACAATTCTAATGTCTTTACATCAAACAATTAAATTTTTATTTTTCTATGCATAGCAATCAAATATTTAATATTACTTCAGAAAATTATTATTATTGAATTTTTAAAAGTGAAACAGACCTTTCATGCATAGATTTATGACACGAAGTGTTATAGATGTAAATGTCAAATTTAAGATGTCAGATATATAAATGTATAAGAATTTTGTAGTTTGTATGTAAATTTTTTAAAATAATTTTATAATGTAGTTAGATATAACTTTTAAAATAAAATTTTATTTCAAACATGCTTCCCTTTTATGATTTTAGTTCAATATTGAGTAAAGATTAACTTACTATCCTTTTCAAAATAATATCGATTCAAAGTATTTAAAGATTCCTAAAGTTTGTTCATTGGGGGTAAGGGTGTCAATTCATGTTGATGAACCAGGCTCAGTTCTAACTTGAACTTGATGCAACACGAATATATTTGTCTTGAACGTAACTCGTTTGGTCAAAATATTTTACCTAAACCTAAATGGAATTGATTTTTTTAACCCAAATCCGATCCGAGCCATCTATTATATAGATAATACATTTTTTTTAATATCAATATCACCAGTTAAGTCAAATATGACCTGCTTAGCCGAATTAACCTGACTTGAACCCGCCTAACTTGAATTTGAATAGTGCTTGGATGAATTTTACATTGATTTTGGGTCAACCCAAACCCAGCTCAAATTATAATCAAGTATATAACAAATCTTGTGCTTCCAACAAGTATAAAATTTAATGTTTATATTAATAATTTACATACTATACATGTGATAGATCTGGATTCTTTGTTGTACCACTTTGCATAGGTTTTAACATGAGATTGGTATGAAGCTTAAATCCATAATCCTTAAAGTATTTGGAAATAGCATGGATTATTATTCAACAAAATTTAATTACTTTATTGGCTTCTTTAGAGTGTTCAGGCATTAGATGCAACATATTGGAATACCTACATAATTAGCAATATATGCGTACATCCCTAAGAAGGAAAATGAAGCTAGACATAGGGAATTAATATTTAACATTATCTTAATTGAATCCAACCCTATGCAAGGCTTGGATGACTAATGTACTTCACTATTGTCTTGCATGTGTGCCACCAATGACTAAGTTACTGAAAATTGTGATTTTTTATCTGACCTTCATCAACAATACTGCCATCTCTATTGAAGCTTGTATTATTTTCACACAAAAATTATGGATTTCCCTAGCTTTTTTTATGTTATTCCACTGGCTTGTGTTCTATAAAATATTTGAACAATTGTTATTTTTGTTCATTGATAGTTATAAATTTTGGAAATTTTTTGGTTCGATAGTATTTGACTTATTCTATGATTATACTTCCCTTTCATGTGGCTTTTTTTAAGCCCATTTAAAATTTTTTAGTATTTTTAAAAATCCCTGCAGGTTATTAAGATTTCTTTTCTCAAGGAAATAAATACAATACCGTTCATAAATTCTTTTACTGTCGTTTTCAATATGTTTTCGTTTTTTTAGTTCTAAATTTTATTTTCATATGTTTTAGGTGTCAAAAAAGAAGAAAAAAAGCGATCTTAAATATGACATACTTGGTTGGGTAATTCTCGCTATAGGGATCGTCACATGGGTCGGTATGGCAAAAAGTCATATACCTCCACCACCTAGGTGAAAATATGCTTTCCTGTCCTTGTCATCGTACAATTCTCAGTGGCACCTAAGTTTCACAAATGTGGCCCATCTTCGGTGTAAAAACTTGTGGAAGTTTTCTTATATGAAAATTAACGGTACAATTTTGTAACTTTTGTGAATCTTTTTGCTCCCCTTATGAGTCTGCTAGATTTGCAATGATCACTATTCCTAAATTCTGCATATTTCAGTTTGTAAATTCTCTATTATGTTAATTTTGCTACTAAGAGTTTTTATTTTAATATTTTGATATTTTTACTTTTAGTTACGTTTGCCCTCCTTCGCAGCCAATCTGTGGTTGGTTGAGTAAATTATATTCACTTGAATTTACAATTTGAATGCTTTGGCAATTTTCTTGTTTTGTAATTTTCACTGCATGCTGCTGAGCTTTTGAGATTTATGTGGATAGTTTTTTGTGCTACATCATCTGAGTTATCGGTGATCAATGCTTGGAGTTTTCTGTCGTGTATAATAGTACAGACGGTGGGTTTTGAATTCCAAATCATATCCGTGATATTATGCTGGTCCTTTTTTAGGAAGCTTCAAATGATATTTTGTCGTTTTTACTTGTGGTTTATTTGGCTGTGATTTCTTTTCTTGTCATTGAATGTTTTTCCATTTCAGGATCAGAAGGTTTCCATGCAAAATATTAAACGTTGCTTTCCCATTGAATTGGCTTGTTTGGACTTTCCAGAAGATTCTTTATCGCTAATTTTCCAAATCAATCATAACTGAAGCCTTAATTGTCTAGTGAACTGTGATTTCTTACATTTTAACCCTATATAACGCTAGGATCTGAATGAAGAGCCAGGTAAACTAAACCATAACTTGTCTGTGTATAACGTGAGGACAACCTTTTTTTTGGAGGAATCCGCTTCTGTTATTTTATTAAAACTTTCTAATTGTAGAAGAGAAGTAGAAGAATGTGCTGGTGAGAGATATATGGAGATAGGTTTATTTTCTGAGGATGAATGACTAAATGGAATTTATTAATCTTAGAGCCTTTCATTGCCGAAGAAGACTTTGCATGAAGATTATGTAAGGGGAAGTTTTAATATTGCATATTCCACAGAACACTATTTGCAAACCTAATCGCTGCATTTAGACTAACTTCTATCACATCCTTGCAGTTGCACTACTTTGTTCCTTTTGGACACTTGTACTCTTATTGACTTTATACATATCTACCTCCCACCCTTTTGTGTACCCACATTCTTACTCTTCTGTGTCTGCTCCTTTCTCATTGGCTTCTCTTTTTATTCTACTGCCTATATACATCATGAGCTGAAGTTGAGCTTAATCAACCGTGTCTGGGCTTTGTTTTGGTTGATTTTCTTTGATTTGAAGCCATATTTGGTCAAATTAACGCTGAAAAAAGTGAAATAAATTTAGCTGTATTTTTTTTTGTAACCATGAGTTCTCTGACCAACCTCAAGTTAACTAAAAGAAATTTTTTGAAGGAAAACTTAAGAGTAAGAATTCTCTTATTCCTTAATGATCAAATTACAATTTTCCTCCTTATATAATGGTTAAAAGCTAGTCCAAATATTACAACCTACCAAAGACACAAAAACCAATAAAAAAAATAAATACAACTTAATAAAAAAGGTATAAATGAGAATAAATTTAAAATAGGAAACTCATAGTTTTACATTCCTCCTCAAACTGGGTCATATATGTTATAGAAACCTAGCTTGGCATTCAAGTCAGTGAAGCCGCCTAAAGGTAGAGATTTAGTGATGACATAAACAACTTAGAGATGATTTGGATTGTAGATTAAGTGAATAATGCCTTCTTTGGCCTTCTCAAAGATAAAATGTCTATCAATCTCAATGTGAGTGGTCATTTCACGATGCACCAGATTCTTTGCAATACCAATGACAACTTGGCTATCACAGAATATCTTGATGGCTTTGATTGTGGAGTATCTCAGCTCATTTAATACTCTTGAATCCACATTCCTTCACAAATATTCCTAAGATAGGTGCACAATCTAGATTCTGCACTACTTCTAGAGACCATTGGTTGTTTCTTGCTCCTCCATGCGATAAGATTTCCTCAGACACAGGAACAATACCCAGTGACGGATCTTTTATCCTTGAGTTCTCCTGCCCAACTAGCATCAATGTACACCTCTATCCCTCTGTTGTGAGATTTATTAAACAATTGTAAGGGGTTTTCTTAAGAAACCTCGAATTTCTATAAACCATCTCCAAATGTTCTTCATTTGGGTTGTTGATGTGCTGACTTTATTATGTCGACAGAGCAAGTGATATCAGGTCTAATATGTGACAAGTAAATAAATTTTATCATCAATCTCTGTTCTCTACCTTTTTTCATTGGTTTTTTTTTTGTCTTCCTGACTGTAAATTTTTGTTGAAATCCATAGGAGTCTCATTAGGTTTGCACCCCAACATTATTATTTTTTTAATAGGCCTAAGATGTACTCTCTTTAGGATATCAGAATACCCATCTTGGTCCTGATCATTTCCATGCCCATAAAGTATCTTATCACTTCCAAATCCTTAATTTCAAATTTAGTAGCAACAAAAATCTCCTTAATCTTCTCAATTTTTGTTATTATCACTTATTTGAATCTTATTTTCTACGTAGTGACAATGAGTATAACTTTCTTACCTCCATATGTATGTTTTGTGAACATTGTATGGTCTGCTTGGATGTACCCATTAGATTTCATAGTCTTGACAAGCTTTTCAATTCAAATTTTTGGAGATTGTTTGAGACCATAAAGTGATTTCTCAAACCCGATGTTTATTTGATTCATCTTTCAGTCCTGGTGAGAACATCATATTCAATTCTTCCTCAAAGTTTCCATTAAGAAATGCATTCTTAAGATCAATTTGATGCAATTCTTGCACATATGTACTATCAAGAAAATAATAATTTTTACAGTGTTTAACTTGGCTACTTGAGCAAATGTCTCTAGATTGTCTATCCATAAGATTGAGTGAAACCTTTGGCCACCAACATTGTCTTGAACCTCTCAATGCTTCCATCTGCTTTTATATTTGACATTAAACACCCATTTACATTCAATGGGTTTTTTATATGGAGGAAGTTTTGTAATGGTCTATATGCTGCTTAGCTCAAGTGCTTGGATATCTGCTTACACAATTCTTTTCTATTGTGGTCTTTGAAGTGCTTTATGAATAGACTTGGGTATCCACACATTATTAAGATTAGATACAAAAATTTTTTATGTTGATAACTTCCCATAGATAGCATACTTTCGATAGGATAAATTTTGTAACTTTTCTGGAGTCCTCTTCATTGGATTTTCACCTTTATTGAAACCTACAAATGTGTGAATTCAGGATTAGTTATGAAAAATCATGTTGTTGCATCCTGTTTTTATCCCGTTCAGTGTACTGCTTTCTTCTGGTCTGTTTACTAGGCTCCTTGTTATCAATCTCAGGTTGGATGTTCTCAACTGGTGGAACTTGAGACCTATGATGGTTAGAGAAAAGGAGAATAGATTGCGATGACTTTAGATCAATGTGATTATCCAAAGGAGGATACAAGTCTGTTATTCACCATGACTATCCCCCTGAATATCAGGGTTAGTTTTCAAAGAAGGTAAAATCACAAAGATATACTATTTTTTTATAATGGGATAATATCACTTGTATCCTTTTTTTTGTTAGAGGCATACCCTAAAATTATACATTTGATGGGTTTTTGGGTCAAAGTTTATGTGGTCTTGTTGGTGAATATAAACAAAAGAAACATGACCAAATATTTTTATAGGAAGTTTGGATGAGAAGGCTGTGACTTGAGGGTATTTTTTTATCACAATATTGAGAGGAGCTTTGAATCCAAGGGCCCTGCTTGACATTCTATTAATGACGCAGGGGGCCATGAGCATGACTTCTCCCCATAAGACTTCTGGTACATTGTGAGAAAACATTATAGACCTAGATACATTGACAAGTGCCTATTCTGTCTTTCAACTATTCTGTTTTGTTGTGGAGTTTCAACTTAGGAACTCACATGAATGATGTCGTTCTTTGCAAGGTACGGTCTAAGAATAAAGTTAAAAGTGTTTGTTTGCATTATCAATTTTGAGAATTTAATTAAAGTATTTGTTTGCATTATCAATTTTGAGAATATATTTTTTTGATTGAAAACGAGTGAAAATCATGTTACAGAAGGATTGAGAGATTTATTCAGTTTCAATTTTTTTCATAAGGAACATCAAACTGTTTTTAATGTGGTCATCAATAAAAAAGAAACTATCGGGCTCTATTGGTGATTTTCAATTTTGATGGTCCCCAAATGTCACTGTGGATGATTTAGAAATGATGTGAGGGCTTGTACTGAGACATGATAGAGATGACGAGTATGTTCAGCTAATTGTCAAATTTCACACTGGTAAAACTCTAACTTTTAATTAATAAAATGACGAGGGTATAGTTTTGCAACCTAATGCAAATTAGAATGACCTAGACGATTGTGCCATAGTAAAACTTGACTCTTGATAGACTCGGACACAAAAAACTTAGGAACATGGAACTTGGATTGTGGAGGAGACACTTGTGTGCAAGAGAATGACTATTGTTGAGCAGGTATATACTTTGATGTAATTTAGAACTGTCAATCACCTTCTCCGCATCCACCTTCATAAGTGCCAGTGGAATTTAGTAACACAGTTGAAATAATAAAAATTGAGATGACTCGGGCAACAATAACATATTAAAACTCGACTCTCGACAGACTCATACACAATAAACTCATGAACATGGGACGAGGATAGTGAAGGAGACTTGTGTGTGTAAGAGAATAACTATTCTTGAGCAGGTATAATTCTTGATACAAATTTCCACTGTCATTCACCTTCCTCGAATGCACCACCTGAACTTCACAAGTGTTGGTGGAATTTAGTACTTAACTCTCAACAGGCTCTGACACAAACTTATGAACATGAAACAAGGATAGTGGAACAGTTGGGTGTAAGAGAATAACTATTCTCGAGTAGTTATAGCCTTGATGTAATTCAACACTGTCAATCACATTCCATGAATCCACCCCCGGAAATTCACAAGTGTTAGTGAAATTTAGTAACACAGTTCAAATCATGA